TTGTGTACCACAGGTTTTCAGTTCCAGGCTCAGTTCAAAAATTTTTCTGCACAGGAGGTCTGAGCAGGGACGGGAAATGATTACTGCCATAATGTTGTGCTCTGACCTGCAAGCTTGGAGACACTTCTATCTGAAACAAAAGATGCATTGAGGCCTGCATGGATTTGGGGGGGGTTTGCTGCAGCTCCACTGTGTTTATTACTTTCTTTTTAGGCATGATAAAGACGAGAATAACTGAAGACAATGAATAAACAAATCTATAAAGAAAAACAAAGACAATTTGGGTGAAAGAATAGGCCCATCAATGGCCCCACTTTCATATAAATCAACTCAAACTCTATGTTTGGTTGATTTTTTCTCTCTCGATTTGCCTATACTTCTCTGGGAAGGTGCTACTGCAGCATTTCTAGATACATTCCTTATTTTAGATCAATTTAAGTCCCAGAAAAGAAGCCTGGTATGACTGGAGTGAGCCATCCATCCAAGAAGACATCTGAAGTTATTTCACTGAAGTGTGGATTGGATGAGTGTACAGTGAGGTGGATTGAGAACTGGCTCAAAGGCAGATCCCAGAGGGCCATACTTAGTATCACAGGGTCAAGCTGGGGTCCTGTCACTAGTGGTGTCTCACAAGGTTCAGTTTAACTTATTCATCAATGACTTTGATGAAGGGGCAGATGCCTCCTCAGCAAGTTCAATAGCTAAAGAGGGAATGGGTGAAAACTGATGCATGGGAAGTTCCACCTAAACATGAGGAAGAACTTCTCTACTGTGCTCCAGGGTTAGCACTGGAACAGATTCCCCAGAGGGGCTGTGGAGTCTCCCTCACTGGCGGCACTCAAGAATTATCTGGACTCAATCCTGTGCCATGTGCTCTAGGATGACCCTGCTGGAGCAGGGACTTTGGACCTGATGGCTATGGCCTCTTCCAGCCTGATCCATTCTGTGATCCTGTGATTCCCTGCTATTGCTAAGGAGCAGGTTTGCTTGATTAGGACTGGATTGGATGTGTTTATTTACTCTGCAGTTTCAATGCTGAGCAATGTGCTAATGCATCCAGCCTTGTTTTCAGAAGGGAAGACAGTCGTGCCCAAAAATAATTAGACCAATTCATGTGTACTATGTTTAATTTATAACATTGGAATAAAACTTAAGTATATCCTCAGGATGGGGTATTTTTGACAAGGAATCAGGTTAAGAAAAGGCTCCATGATCCCAGAGTCCATTTCACAGTAGACTCCAAAAAATGTACCTCATTATAAAATACACCTTCCCAAGGAATCACAAGACATGAGAAATCAAAAGAGAATTCCTAAAAGCAAAAGCTTTCCAGCAGAAAATCAATTTCAGCTGCTTTCACCTTGCCCCAGGGAAAGCAGCAGAGACACTAAGTGGGGTGTGGGAAATGTCTCATACATCTTCCTGGAGCTGCACAAGGCAGACCTCCAGACAGGAGCTTTTCTTTCCAAGACAGCTCTGCTCTAATTAGGGACTTCTACAAAATTAGTATGTTGCAGTTCTAAACAGTGTCTGGATGATTCCCATATCAAATTTCTTTGGTGTTTTTTTTTTTTTTTTTAAATTCTTTGTCCTTGCTCTAATTGACAGCCTTACAAAAGCAGGTGGACTGAGGGATGAAGGTCAAATTGAACTTAATGTGCTTAATAAGGCAAGGAACAAAGTTTAGAGGAAAGTTACACACACACAAAATATTCTTTGGGGTTTTTTTTCTGACTCTCATGCTTCCTTTTCAAGAGTCTTTGTGCACTTTTTGGTGCACCTTCAAAGTTAAAATAAAGCAATTGCCTTTAAATAAAATTTTTATATTAAGGGCTTTCCTATAAGACAGATGTGTGAGATAGAATATAGTTTATAGACTCAACAATCTATGTTGGGTGAACAGGTGAACATAAAATGCATTTTCTATATAGGAAAGTGCATCCTGCTCCTTTTTTTCCTAGAGATGGGAGCCAACCTCTGGCTGGTTCCTATAATTCTCAGTATCTGGGCCTTTCTGGCTATTGTTAAAGCTGGTCAACATGTTCTAAAAAATACATGTTCCCCCTTGAAAATGAAGACTGACTGATATTTTCCACTAAAAATTATGATTAATATAATCTGTGCATTCCAGCAGGAAGGCAAAACAATTTTTCTTTTTCAGGTCAGTATAAATCTCCGTGTCTTAAAGTTATTCCCCTGCTTCCAATCTTTCATTTCTTCACTTTCCTGTTCTTCAGACTCAGATTGGATTTTCTACACTGACATTATCTGCTACAGTACAGCCTGGGAAAAACTGTGACAGTTTACTTCCAAAAAGAAAAGGAGTCAGAAACTTCTTCCTTATAGATACAGCTTGTGGGATGGCAGCTAGCTTGACAAATAAAGAATTAAAAATAAATAAATAAATAAATAAATAAATAAATAAATGCAAATATGAAGCCTTCCAGTTGGTCAGTTTGTCTTAGTGGGTTTTTTTGGTTGTTGTTTTTGTTGTTGTTGTTGTTGTTTTTAGAATAATCTGTGAAAAGCTCAAATCTTAAAATCTACATTCCCATGTGTGAGGAAGGCAACTGAATTTGTGAATTTTGCATTAGATGGGCATTTTATGACTCTGGTCTGCAATAAACCACAATGTTAGGTTGTCATATGGTAGAAAATCACTTTGGGCTTCACGCTTCTGTCAGTCCATGTGTTTTGCTGGGTGGGCTCAGACTCTCTGCAGCAGCTCCTCAGCAGTCAGTTGAAGTCACTGCAACGTGCAGCACTGCAGTACCTTATCTCAGTCAGAGCTATATCCTAAACTCCCATGAAAAGCAGTGGAAATACACTCTTCTTTATTGAAAATGAACACCCCAGCAGGACATATGTCATCCTTAAAGAGAATTATAGAATCATAGAATCACTGAACAGAATCATAGGGTTGGAGAGGATCTTAAAAGTCATCTAGTTCCAATCCCTCTGCCATGGCAGGGATGCCACTCATTAAATCAGGTTGCTCAGGGCCCCATTAAACCTGGCCTTAGCCACTTTCAGGGATGGGACATTCACAGTTTCACTGTTCCAATTCCTCAGCACCCTCTAAGAAAAGAATTTCTTCCTAACATCTAATCTAAACCAGCCTCCTTTTCATTTAAAACCTTGTCCTGTCACTATCTGTCCAGATAAGAAGTCCCTCTCCCTCCTTTTTATAAGCCTCCCAAAGGTACTGGAAGGCTGCAATGAGGTCTCCCTGGAGCCTTCCCTTCTCCAGAGTGACCAACCCCAACCCACTCTGCCTGTTTTTGTAGGAAAGGTGCTCTATACCTCTGGTGCTCTTTTTGGCCCTCCTCTGAACTTACTCTAACAGGTTGACATCTTTCTTGGGCTAAGAACCCAGACTGGGCTGGGGGGAGGGGGGGGGCTCAATTCATCATTTTATTTAAATGGAATTTAAAATGGGATCACCTGTGATATTACACTGCTTGTCCTCCTGTGTGCTGGCCTGATTTGCCAATAGTCCTTCACAGTATATCCAATATGCAGATTTGTAATGATTTCTGATCAACTAACATGTCTGAGGTGGAAGCAATTTATTTCTCTGTATAGCAAAAGTAAAAGTTATCGACTTAATGCCTGTGGCTGCTCACAAACATTACCCTGGTATGGTTTTAGATGATGGCCAGGGCAACCCATGGCTAAAGAGTATGGAGAGTCCTGATGATATGCCCTGGGTTACAGGAGGTGGTGTATGCATACATATTGCTAAATCTGGGGGAAAAATTGACCTTGAAGCAACACAGAAGCTCTGCAGAGCAGGCGTATAAGGGGATTTTTTCAAATCATCTCACAAATCCACCCCGTATTCTCACCAGCTGTGCTCAATCTCTGATGCTCGGGAGGAAGGCGAGAGAAAGCCCCAGGACACCCTGTGCTAATTGTGGGGGGAAGGAACCTGCCTGGGACCCAGAGCCAAAGCCCTGAAGGAAAAGACCTGATTACACTCTGCTTTTCATGCTGAGCTGTAGGGGTTAGGAGCACACACAGGATGAGGACGGCTTCATCAGAATCTCCCTTCACAGCGGAGAGACAGGCTCCTCTCCTCCCTTTGGAGGCGGATTTGCACACAGGAGCAGCAGTCGTCTCATTATTTATGCCACGGGGGAAAAAAAAAAAAAAAAAATCCTAGGCTCTTCCTAGACTGGCGTTTGTTAGATAAGATCGTAGGTGCAAAATACCCTCCAGAATGTACAATAACCTGCAAAGACAGGCCAGCCAGCGCCTCCTCTTCTCTCCGGCGTGCCGGGCTGGCGGGGCAGGGCAGGATGCTGTAGAGCAGCTCGGCAGCGGGACGCTACCTGCATGTTAATGCCCCGGGTGTTTGCGCCGAGCCCGGCGCCCGGCGAGCGCGGCTCCCGCAGTTTCCATGGAGCTGTCATGGTGCGCTCTCCCCACACCTTCACTTATCAGCATTTCCCACCCATCCTCCTCCCTGTAATGTGCTGCTTGCTCACCCCGAAAGGTCAGCCATTGTAATGATGATTTTAGCAGGGGGAGGCAGGGAGGCCGAAGGGTGAAAAGGTGAGCTCTGAGCAGCGCTGTGCGTGGGAACCGGGGGCTTGCCTTGCGCTGTACAATGAGAAATTCGAAAGCTTCCCCTCGAGGGAGCGGCGCTCATCAACCCCCTCTCACTTCCCAGGCCGGCCGAGTCAGATGCCCTGACGGAGTTAAAAAAATGTTCATGAGAAGTGGCTGGAGACCCGACTTTAAATCTTCAGCATCTCCTCGGCAATTGATGTGTCAGTGTGTGGAGGGGCGAAGGGACCGCCTCTGTCCACAGAGGAAACTGATACAAACGCTTACAGGCATCTTTTCTGGTTTTCCGTTTTCCTCCTGCCCCCACCCAGTGCTCGTATGCAGATGGAAAGAGACAGATCAGATTTTTCCTCCGACTTTCATCCTATTGACCGCCGGAGTATAAAGCAGTGCATCTTTTAACTGCCTTCCTTTCTTTCTTTCTTTAGGACAGCTTTCCTGCACGTTTTGGAGGAGTCCATTTTGTCAATCAGCCCTGGTACATCCATGCCCTGTACACGCTAATCAAACCATTCCTCAAAGACAAGACAAGGAAAAGGGTAACTAGATGAGGGTGAAGGGTGGGGGTGGAGAGGAACCTGCAGACCTGGATTTTCCAAGTAGCTACCTGTTTTCTTTTCTAGTTTATTTTATCTCCATTTTCCATATGGTATAAGAGAATCACTGCTGTTATCAAAAATTAGAGTTTGGAATGATCTGGATTGAATCAATAGCTCAGCCAGGGACCAGAAATTTATCACTAACAAAGCATTTTACTGGGACATGCTCAGGGATAGAGAAAATTGGCAATGTGGAGGGATTATCCGGCGTGGCTGAAGTAATTTACAAGCGAGGGAAGCTTTAGCTCAACTCTTTTTGTGGGAGTAAAAATTCATATTTCATTCCTTCATCAGGGTAACTGTTTTCACATGATGGTAACCCAATTGCTTCCACCTGAAGTACCCATGCCTGGAGGCTGTTTGCTCACACTGCAGAAGAGGCAGATCTTCTCCACTGAAACCCAAGTGAATTGGTGGTTCTGCAGTCATGTTAGCCATTTATTCTCTGCAGTCTGTCAAACAACAGCTGAATAATCCCTCGGGAGACCCCAGAGCCCATCCTAAACTGGGTCTGACTAAGCAGGAAAAGGGTATGACCCACCTGGAAGCAAAGAGGGATTAGAGAAACGTGTTGCTGCAGCAGCACTGAGTGGTGACACAGCCTGATACATCCCTGGAAATGTCTGTCCTGGGGTGCAGGGCTAGTGGCCCTCTCAGATGCTGAAGTCCTACTATTTACGCCTGCTTTCAGTAAGCTCCACTGTCACCCTTTTCTTCTCACTGCTCTTCATGTAAGCCTCTATCCTCTTACAGTAGCAATAATCAGTCATAATTCCTGACTTCTGCTTCTCCTGATCTGGTACTTAAGAGACTGAAATTGTCAAATGCCAAAAGCAATCGAAGAGTTTACATAAGCGTTAGTAGTGCCAGCGTAATTCTTCAGCTGCCCACCCCGAAGTTAATCCCCCCTCTTCTGCCAACTGAGTAAACCCTGAGAGCTTTTGAAATTCCCACCTGAAACTGCAGTGTCAACTAATGACACTCCACACCTCATTAGTGGTGCTATAATTGTACTTAATGAAGTAAGGAGTCTGTGATGACTTCGAACTTTTTTTTTTTTTTTTTTTTTAAGATCTTTCTTCACGGCAACAACCTGAACAGCCTTCACCAGCTAATACACCCCGAATGCCTGCCGTCTGAATTTGGGGGGACTCTGCCTCCCTATGACATGGGGACATGGGCTCGAACACTACTGGGTCCCGACTACAGCGATGAGAATGAGTACACCCACACCTCCTACAACGCCATGCACGTCAAGCACACCTCCTCCAACCTGGAGCGGGAGGCCTCGCCCAAACCCATGAAAAGGTTGGTACTGCCTTCGAAATCTGCTCTTTTTTGACTCTCTGAACAGGCTCGGCATAAATCTCACAGGAAGGGCACGAAGAGAGGCTGCGATTTGGCAAACGTTGATGGTGAGGAGCACTTCACTCTGGGCTGTGCTTGTGGTGTGCTGGGAGAAAGGAAGCCTCTTGGTGGAACCGTAATTACTTGTCTGATTACTGTGCATGAAAATGAGGGGAAATTAATGAGCCCCTGTACAGAGCATTACAGAAGTACATCAGGGTGAGATGCTGTCCTGCACGGTGCAGCGCACTCAGCGGCGCCACTTCAGCGCTGGTCCTTACTCCTTGCCGCTGCTCTGCTGCTGCTGACCCGGCTGCTATCGATGAGGGATTTACCTCCTTTAAAAAGCAGCTTTTGTACGATGAGCACCACTGCCCTCTAAAGGAAAAAGGAATTGGTCTTCTTCCTCTGCTTCTGCTCCCCCTTTGCTCTGCAAAGCCCTGCAAAGGCGGTTGCAGAGCCGCTCTTTTAAATGCTCTGATTTTAGTTCTAGTGATTGTGCATTCAGCTCTGAATGCTCCAAATGACTCCTCTGGAGAGTGTTACCCTCAGTAGTTTGGGCTGATTGTGGGGATGGGGTCGGGAAGTCAGATACCTGGCACAGAGCTGTGGGTGGTATGGCTCAGCCAACGCCAGCTGCAGCGAGCCATGGCCGTGCAGGCTCCCCTGAGTGTAACATCTGTACTTGCCTCACCCTTGGCATCCCACGCCAGGAAACTGCTTTCCGTGCAGATCGCAGCGATGCTTTCCTCGCTGCTGCCACTTGATGAGTGCAGTGCTCACAGGCACGGCGTCACTCTCCGTGACAGGGAGCGGCCATCATTTTGTCACAGCAAAATCAAAGCTGACAACACAGACAGGCCATAATGTCATGCAATTAATTTTGAAAGTCTTTCATCTTCAGAGGAAAAAGAAATGCATTCTTGAATCACAGCTCCCTTCCAGGTCAGAGGGATGCCATGCAGCTGTGTCTGCAAAGTGAGGCCTCGTGCTGGAAACACTAACACTTATGACTGACTTCAAGAGCTCACAGGGCCACAACACTTTCAGGTTATGAGCTTGCAGCCTTGCCATGAAGAGGGGGTGGCTGCCTGCATTGTCAGCAGTTCTCACTCCTGACCACCAACCGAGGCTGGGAGCCAGTGTGAGTTTACAAAGTCTGCCCCAGAGAGTTGAGTTTAAGCAAATTTATTTTTTATAAATATTGTCAGTGAAACACACTGAATTAGTATTAGAAAAATACTAAATATTCCATTATTCATAAACTAGATCCTCATTTACGTAGCTTTATAGAAAGAATTCTGCAGGTTTTTTAAAGATCCAAATATGCTGAGAAATGTACACAGGTAAATCTTAGCTGAGGATCTGATCCTTGGCTGCAAAGAAGGGAGGGTCTTATTGCGTCCTCAGGGGAGCACCTCAGCTTGAAAATTAGTTCAGTGCCAGAAAACCATGCCTTGAGGCAAAGCCTTCTTTTATAATCTGTTCACTAATAAAAAAGTGCACTAATACAAATATGGGGAGGGGATGAATCTAATTTGTCATGCTGCCTCTGGGCAGACTAGATCTAACTTTTAGCCTAATTTCGTTATTCGGCGGTTAAGTCAACCATCTGATCTTGCACCCCGTGGTTACTACTTGCTGTTAAAGGTGAAAAGTTCACAGCTTCAACAGATTTTCTCCTATGAGTATTTGCTTTGATTCTTCTTCTCCTGAAATTATGGTTTGGCCCAATCACAGGTAAAAGTCTATGTTTAGAAAGCTTGATTGTGTGCTATACTAGATTTTTTTTAACCAGATGTATATCTGAGGCATCTAAAAAGGTCTCCAGAATTCTACCAGCATTACCTGTCTTCCCTCCTTGCCTCTTTATGTTAATATATCTCTAACATAATGTGGAACTCAGGCTATGACTGAGATTTCTGGGTACTCCAGAGGTTTGCACTAAGCATAGGTGATCATCTAACATTATTCTTCATCTTAAATATAACTCCCTCCCAATTGTTCTATCATTTCTTTCCCTTATTAAAACAATTTCTAGTTTTATTGAAAATATCTCCTCTGCTCCTCCTTTTTCAGCACACACTTAGGTAACACGTTAATTTTGTGGTTTTCTGATTATATTATTGGTTTAACAAAAAAAAAAAAGGTCAAGGCCATTGACTTTTTCTTCAGCAGTCATATTCCGCTGAAAGGGGCAAATATGCAAAGACTGAGGCTTCTTAGATTTCTGTAATTTAAGGCTGAAAAGCCTGACCAGTTATGGGACCTTTCCTCTCTGACTTCCCAGACATCACTGCAGGTGTACCTGCCCAGTAACCAGCTGCAGGGAAGGGCAGTGCTTATGGGACTTGGATTTACCCAGGAGGCTGAAATCACAGTGGTGGTTCCCAGCTGTGGCACTGTCCTGCTGTGTGCAAGGTGCAGAGATGCAGCCCCTCCTGGCCACACAAGCCCATCCTTGCTAAAACTGCCACTGGACCAGAGGATTGTTAAAGCATCTGGAATCTTTGAGCTCAGTGCTGCTGTAACAGCTGAGAGACTTGCACTGGGACTACAGAGAAATGTCCCCATGAAATTAAATGCCACCATTCTCTACACCTGGAGAAAAGCTCACCTTTGACGCCTACTGCAAAAATAGTGTCAATTTTAGTGGTAGAGAGGCTGAGAAATCAAGATGTGAATTATGTATCTGAAGACAATTGTCAGGAAATGGAATTGGAGAAAAACTGACCAAAATACTGTCATAACCACATAATCTAGATTAGCAAATGAATGCAGAGTGGGGAAAGGAGGCCTTTTTCAAGATGTGCCTGAGACCAAACTGAGAACTAAAATAAATTTCCAAATGCAGGTCAGGAAATAATGAGGCACTAAGCAGCAGTGAGAGGGGCTGAAGCTGGAGCAGGTACCTGCCTGTAGATCATCTTTAGCAGTGCTTTGGCTCCTGTCACCACAGCAGGGGCATGTAAATTGAAACAAGTTCATCTGAGAACTCTGGGGAGGATGAGGAAAGCAGAGAGCATATTTTTCCAACAAGAAGCTATAGAAGACAGTAGTTTGTTTAGCTTTGGAGAGCAAAAGTTGAAATGGATTTGAAGGGAATAAAATCCGGGGAGACGGAACAAATATTTGAGGAAAAGGACAATTTAGGCATTAGGCACGAGATCAAATGGATATAAGTTGATTAAGGTATACCTTGGCTGAAAATCAGAGTTGGTTTGATAGCCATCAGAGGCCAGAAACAGCGTGCCAGTATGACAAACTGATACAGGAGTGAAAGACTAATGTGAAGGGGCTACAGGAGATTAAACTTGCATAGCAAAGTCTCATTATATTCCAATTTCTGCTCCATTTAACAGCAATGGAACCAGAACATTATCTTCTTCCCAGTCACAGGCAGGGGTGGTTTTCCCTGTAACTGGCACAAGATTTGTTCTCAAGAAAGAGACCTTGTTGACTTCAGAGAATGGAGGTGTTTTAGATGGGGAAAGGATTGAAAATCCTCTTAAAGAAAGACTGCACTGACTCTAGTCAGTGACATGATCGTGAAAATTTTGAGATTTGACAAGTGTCTATAAAATGGAAAATCTTTAATCAAAACCATTGCAATTTTTCCACCAGTGGCCACATGAAGTCCCACTGGAGCAAAACCATACTAGCAGAAATGGCATTCCCATCTGCAGTATTATCTCGGATCCCAAGTACTGTATGAACAGATGGGAAACAAAGCAAAACAGCTGATGACTCCACATAATGAGTCTTAATTACAAGGGGGGAGGGGAGGGGAAGCAACAATAATAAGAATCCATTCAGAATGTATGTTTATTAGGATTCAGCTCAGTGAAGTCTGAAATGTGCAAGGTAGTAAACATGCAAACCAGCATTAATACAGGAAACTTGGTTTAATCTGAGAGCCTGGCTGCATCTATTAGACAGTCCTGGGAGCAGCAATGGCAACAGGCCCTTCCTCTATCTTGGGCCATCTCTTCTGAAGGGTCTTCATCCATCCAGGAATCCTGTCGCTTAAGAGCTTTAGGATTTCAGAGCATGTAAATGGTGCAAAAATTTGGAGCACAGGGAAGAATATCATGTCCCTTTCAGCTGTGGCCAAGTCTTCTGTGATCTCTGATGGTCAGAAAGGGGCCTTTAGTCAATAGGGAGCTCACACAAAAGCAAGTCATTTGCCTGAGGCATTCATGCTGGCTTTTGTTGATGAAGTGTTGTTTTTAGGAGCAGCTGGAGGTTTTATCTGGATGTGCAGTTTAACAAACAGTTATGGTGGATGGTTAAGCCTAGCAGTTAAAGAGTCAGAGACTGCTCTCAGCATATCACTGTGCCAGTAGGGCACAAATTTTAGCCCCGTTCTCCCAACAGTAGAAGATCCATGTCTGTAGCTATTTGGGTACCTAAAAGCTGTGGGTGAGTATCCCCAGGTGAAGGGATGGATTCAGTGACTGGGGAAGATGTGAAAGAGCTCTGTTCTTTGACGTTTCCTTTTTTCTCCAGTGTCACCCTTGCTCTTACACTCGGGTCCAGCAGCAACAAATAAGCTGCAGCAGCATGTTCCCTCTCTGTGACTCACTTCTCTTTACAAGAACTGCCCTTCTTCAGCTGCATCTGGGTCATTCTTGATATCTGAACTTGCTCTTCAGTCCAAGTGATGAAGACTGTGCTCTGTCTTTGCTTGTTCCCTGCACAGGCTCCAAGCACAGCCTGGGAGCTGAATGCTCCTTCTCTGCCCTCCCAGGCACCAAAAGCACTAGCTTTTAACCTGCTGACAGTGCAAACAGCTTTGAAAAATTAAAATTGCCTTGAAGAGAAAGAAAATTTTACCTAACCACTACTTATATATTCTGGCTAAACAACCTGAGTTGTTAAATCAAACTTATTTAATCAACAGAGAATTAATTATAACTTTATTCAAATTTGGGATTAAAAATTATTCTTGGGATAACATG